TTATTTTATGCTGAATATTTTTAACTGGACTGGAATACTTTATATAAACTGCAATTTTCCCTTGACTCATTACAAGGCTGTCTGTATTCCACGTTGTGCTATTTTACAACTATGTAATTTTTAAAAAACAAGGGATACTTAAAAAAATTTTTTGAAGAAAAAGAGTAAAAAAAAATTCTTATCCTAAACTCTTTATACACTACTTTCTTTATTTCCTAATTTTTTGTTTTCTGTCCCTTTGTAAATCTGAATCTGCATACTATAAATGAAAAATTGTAGATGATTGTGTTTTTTTTTTCTTTTCAACTTTCGTGTAAATAATTTTCATTTCTTTAAATATCTTGATAAATCGAGTGCTTATAGAACAACAGCATTATTGTGTGTTTTTTTTTCTTTTTAACTTTAGTTTAAATAATTTTCATTTCTTTAAATAGCTTGATAAATCGAGTGCTTATAGAACAATAGCATTATTGTGTGTTTTTCTTATTTTTAACTTTAGTTTAAATAATTTTCATTTCTTTAAATAGCTAGATAAATCGAGTGCCTAAAGAACAACAACATGATTGTGTGTGTTTTTTTTTTCTTTTCAACTTTAGTTTAAATTATTTTCATTTCTTTAAATAGCTAGATAAATCGAGTGCTTAAAGAGCAACAGCATGATTGTGTTTTTTTTTTTTTTTTTCTTTTCAACTTTCGTGTAAATAATTTTCATTTCTTTAATTAGCTTGATAAATCGAATGCCTAAAGAACAACAGCTTGATTTTGTGTTTTTTTTTTTCTTTTCAACTTTAGTTTAAATAATTTTCATTTCTTTAAATAGCTTGATAAATCGAGTACCTAAAGAACAACAGCATGATTGTGTGTTTTTTTTCTTTTTAACTTTCGAGTAAATAATTTCCATTTCTTTAAACAGCTTGACAAATCGAGTGCTTGAAGAACAGCAAACAAACTACAGAAAAGAATAGAAAAATAAACATTATTAACAGTCCCCTCATTACCTTACAATAACTTCAATGAATAAAATTTTGAAAAATACATATATTAATAAAAATTCTAACAATATAAACAGTAATTTAAATAATACGTAAAATAACAGTAATTTAAAAAAAAAAAAATATATATATATATATATATATATATATATATATATATATAGAGAGAGAGAGAGAGAGAGAGAGAGAGGGAAAGAGAGAGATAGAATGATTTTTCAATAACATTTGTAGCAGGAATTTGAGAAAAGGGGAAAAAAAATATATAAATACAAAATAAAGAAAATACAAAACCTGGAGAAAAAAAATTAATAAAAGTGAGAAAAAAAAGCATTGATTTTTTATAGGGGAAGGAGATGGTCCGGGGTGGCGGTCAAATAGACTAAAATAGTGGCAAAACTATTTTATTAAAAGCCAACGTTTCGACCAAACTTTTCACGTCTTCTTCAGGGAGTTTAAAATGGAGGAAGGGGAAATTTAAAGGTTTTGGTTTAACTGTTATTGGACAAAAATTGTATTCTTAAATTTATTTAATTTATCTGTTTTACGAAAAAATATAAAAAATAAAGCAAACCTATTTCTGTTGTTGTCATCTACCAGTATGGTCCTCCCTCTTACTAAACCTATTTTTATAAATCCATATGAACATACAGCTGTTGAATGGAAGAGCTAAAAGGGTAGACGGAAAAAAATATAATTCGGTAGTCAACTCACAAGTCTCGTTATATATGTAGGCAATCATCTATTGAGAGTAATATCATTCGGTTTTTTAGAGAACAGAAAACAGAATTTATTTACAATTTGTGTCCAAAAAATGTTCAATAATGTCCGATTTTTTCCCCATTATCATCCCAACGTCTTCTCTCGAGAGATGAAAAAACCGGATTCGAAAAGTCCATGGGCCATGCTGATATGCAACAATCGATTTTTAATTAAATCGTTCTTTAAAAAAAAAGCTTTTATAAAAGAGTAAGGACTAAATATCCTGGACCTGCTTCGTGATAAAAAACGACGCTCAAGGAATCTCTCTCTTAACCACAGGTGGCTCGGGTTCTAATTATACATGAGAAAATAAAGCAGAGAATTAAACAGGGAACCACCCATGAGAGGGGTATATGTTATATGTTATATAATGGTGAGGGGGGGGGGGAGGCCAGTCATTATACATTATGCACCCTACCGCCGATGTGACAGTGATACTAAATCCTGTACTTTAAGTCCGACCAGTGGCTATCTTTTATTTTGTCTCGGACCGACTCTTATATTTAAAAATACATATCACCGCTGGATTATTTCTGTTGTAAACCGGACGGGAGATTATTCACCTTATTAAGCGGGTTTCAGATCCATTCTCGACTAATCTACTTGTCCGATTATAAAGCCTTTTATTTATTGGGTACGATTTTATTATCCCGAGTGGGTAACAGAGGTATTTTTGTTTTTATTGTATTGAGCCATCTATTCGACACGAGATTTTTAAAAAGTAAACCGCAGTGTGAATGATGAACGATAGTGTTCACACAGTGGTCCATAATCATTATTGAATATTTTAGGAAAGCATGTATGAATTTGCTAAGATTCTAACTTATTTTGTTCTACTCTTATAAATTCGTTCATTGTATATCTGAAAAGATACAATTTTCTTTGTACGTACACTACAGAACAATTACATTGCTGCTATTTCCTGCCAAATATAAATTTGTTACATACAAATCTCTCTTAAAAAATATAAGCTGAAAATGTTCTTAGAAAATTCTATAAAAATATCTTATCGAGAATCATTCTTTCCAATTTTAATTGATTTTTTTTTTCATTTTATAAGGAATTCAGAAAGCTTACAACGATTCGTGGGTTTATTGAACAGAAAATTGTATACTCATGGAATTATTCGCAAATAAAATTCTGAATTCATCGTCACTTTTTTTTCAGCCTCTTTTCGGAGAAGTATGTTATATACATAAGTTAAAAGAGCTTCGAAACTTTTCATTAAAATTTTTACATCTGTTTTGATGTTATAGTCTATGGCGACACATTTTTTTTCACGTGTTACTTCGAAACAAAAGGCCGAATACTAATGTAATGTATATGAAAACACTCCTGAATTTGGTTGCAATTCAGTGGAAATTTCAAAGCAAAAAATAAGCAGCTTTGAACAGCATTTTTATTTATATACAATGTTTTCAATAACATTTTATCGATAACACTGAACAGCTACTAAATAAAGTATAAAAACATAAAATCAGTTGAGAAACATAGGAGGAAATAGTACTGAACTGGTCGGTTGGTTATTGAAAAGTAAAGGGATAAAACCTGTTGGTCACAAAATTATTTATTATTATATCTTTGGGTACTGAATAATTGGAAAAATAAAATTAAAAAAAAAACAACGTAAAATGCACGTTAAGGTTAAAGTTGTTTACGCTTATTAAACTTCAGTTATTTAAAGTTAGCACGTTAAGCAAAAAAATAAAAAAATAATATAAAATAACAATAATAAAACTAAAAAGAGGTGGGGGAGTAATGCGTAAGAGGTTCAGAGATTTTTAAAGATTTATTCTTCAAAGACAAAACATGATTTTGCTGAAGATTTTTCATCTTTTTCCAAAGCAGCGAATGTATTTGCTAGTATTCCTCTTTCGTTTGATTCTCTGATGTAAAAGGCACAACTCTCGAAGATATGGACCACTATCATTCTCCCTCCACACTTCTGACAAATGTGCAGGCTTTCTTTTGTAATTAAGTGAAGATACGTTTGTCTGGCATGACCTATTCTTAAGGTACTGAACAGCTTTTTCTTTGCATATTTACATAATGATACCTTTTAAATAAATAATTGTTGAACATAGGACTCATTTGGGCAAATTTCTTACTTGGGATCCACAGATAAGGCTGAAACGATATGAATCTGTTTTAAGTTCTCGACTACTTCAACACTTATTAAACAAACGTTCTAAGCTCTCGATTAATTATTAAAGATTCCTCTTCATGACTATAATAACGCTTTTTTGTAGACATATGCTTTGGGACTTTAAGAAACCTTCCAATACCTCTTGTTTACAATACTAACAATTTAAAATCCTTCGTAAAACCTAATGGAAACAAAATTGAGATCTCACTAACCTAATACGAATTTTTACTTAGAAATAGAATCATTCCTTTTATTTTTCTGTCAAGAGGCTTAAGTTCTCTTTTTATGACGTCCTGTATCTTGTTTTCTTATTCAGGATTTGAAAGTTTCTGTTTATCACAGACTTCATATACAGACTATATCTTCTGGAATACATATGTGCAATACTCTTCTATCCTACCCAACAGAATGTGGAAAGTTTTTCTGAATCGATGTTAGAGAGAGCTATGCTCTGAAAAAGCAGTTTTGGCTCCTCCCAGACGGATGGAGTACGTAATGATTTGGCCTAGGTCGGCGCTTGAGAATCTATTGGAATTAAATCCTCGTATACCCGCCTGTCTCACAGAATGTGAATACCCATCAAGTTCAACGTCCCCATAACTGACCTACTCCAATAGAGCTTTGTCATGCCGACAGTTGGAGTCGTCACGGAACGTCATGCTGATGACGAAGAATGTTACCCTCTCTCCTTTGAAAGTGGGACAACCTGAGGAGGACGATTACATCGAATACATATATGGAAATCGGAATAGTAGCGAGAAACACCCGAGTGTGGAAAATAATACAAGTAAATAAATGTTTTCGTACAAACAAATAAAAACATAGTTATCATGTACTACTTTTTTAAATTCAATAAAAAATTAATATTTATGGATGCCGTTTCGAGACTCATATTTTAAAAAATTACTATTTATTTGAAATTGTCTGTATAAAGAATGGTCACCTTTTAACGCTAAGGTCGTTAGGTAGAATTGAAAAAATTTCCTTTTTCAAATTAAGTTATTTGTATTATATTTTATGCTCTCTTTAAAATATATAAAAGAATAAGCTTGTTTATTTTTAAAGCACTTGTTATTTATTGAGCATTTGTTTCATATGTCATTTTAATTTAAATAGTTTTTATAGTTTGTTTCATACAGTGAATAATCGTGTGAGCAGAAAACATGACAAAGTATAAAAAAAAAAAAAAAAAAGGAATATATGAAGGTTTCTGCATTCAAGCTAACGGAGGCAGTAAGTTTTATAAAATTATTGTACTATCAAATAAAAATAATTCAAACAACTCAATGATATCCGTTGTTGCTAAAAAAAAAATAAATAGAAATATATATTGAAAAGACACGAATACTACTCAGAAAGATGTTAATATGAATAAATCTTAAAAAATAAATTGATGATAATTAAAAAGTACAAATAATATATTTATAAATTTTCACTATAAATATGGAAGATCTGTTTAGACTTATTTTGGAAATGATTGAAGTGGTTGCATTTGGGGGTGATAGAGGTATTAGAAAAGAAAGATATATTAAAGAATCAAGATCATTGTTTTAACATATTTTGTATATGACCTTTTTCGATCGAAGTTGTAATTTTTAAAAATTATTTTCCAGTTTCGTAAAGGCATTTATAATGTTTGCATGCAGAAAAAATATAGTTTATGGCTCTGAGTTTAAAAAAGTTAGGTTCAATTTATGCATAAAATTTAAGTCACAATTTTAGGTTAAATTATTTGAACATGTATATATTGCTAATAATGCACAGTATTTTTTTTTTATAATTATTCTTTCGATGATAGTTGATTAACGAAATTGATAATCCTTCATAATTCTACCAAATTCACGAACGTCGTTAATCACACTCAGATGTTCCTTAAGTAGCCCAACGCTCAAACAATTTATCATCTAATAATCGTTACTAATAAATAGACTCATAAAAATAGTGAAAGATTATTTTTTGTGAAAACAAACATTTTTAATGTAATAACTGGATCTGTACTTTGAGACAGATCGTAATATTTTCAATAAACATATAAAAAAAAAAATACCTGGATGAGATGCTTGAATTCTCAATCATTCATAAACCGTATAGGTATCTTTTCTTCATCTTAAACATTTTTTAATTGGATTTTTTTTATTAAAATAAAAATAATAAACAACTGTATCACTACAACCCATGAAGGGTCTGGGGTTCAGTACTATTTAGGGAAAGCATTGTTTCTAAGTAAACGGTTGTGCAAGGAGGTGATTTGACCGATATCACGCTCACCCGCCAGGTTTTCCCTCTTAATCAATTTTTTAATTAAGGGTACCCACTTTATAGAGGCTGGGGGTGCCCCAGGTCGTCCCACGTCCCTAAAAATTTTTTTTATTATTTTTGTTATTATTCTGTTTATATTCAGATTCATAATTATACATTGCTTGAAAATATATATATAATATATATATATATATATATATATATATATATATATATTAAAAGCTATGTGTGTATGTAGTAATAGAAAATGACATTTTTAAATCTAAAATAATAAATTTTTATTTTTTGAATTTATATAATATTTCTTCAAATCAAAATTGAAAATCTGACATAAACTAAATACATACACATACGTATTTAAATCAATTTGGACATTGGCCTCACAGATATACAGAAAAAAAGACTCACTTACAAAAACAACAATCTTTCCTGTCCAAAATAACTGCGACTAATAACTGCAGTTCCCTGGTACGTAAACAACAAAACTTTACATAAGTACTTAATAACAACCACACCATCGACCGACACATACGTACTCTTTACTCACATGTTGAACTACAAGGACACAACAACAGACTCATAACCGACATGGCCACCGTTGACATGCCCATTAGGAAACTGAAGAGGAGCTGGATGAGAGATCTTTCCTGATTTACCGTAACAAACAAAATTGCTGATCAGCAAGAGGTGGCGCTGGATGCTATGCTTCCTCGTGCCATTATCATCTATAATCTCATTAAATTTTCTTATTGTCACTCTTATGATAGGTAAAGATTAAGGTATGAAGAAAAATAATTCTTATTATATGATCTGATAAATTAAGTAAGAGGGCTGAAATTAAGGTATAAATGCAGTTTGATATAATATTATTTTTTAATGTTACTGTTTATTTCTTCAGATAAATTTACATTTTAACTGAAAATGGTAATCTACGTTGATTGCCATCCCATCCAAAACGGCCTATACATCCCAGTTGCATTAGGCCAAGTTATTACACATCGGGACGTACGAATCATTTGGAATGGAAGTTAACAGCCCCCACGAGGTAAGAAATGGTCCCGAGACCCTAAATTAGAGATTTCAACACTTTGATTTGTTGTTGATGGTTAGGAGATGGCCTAAGATGGTTCCCGGAATGCTCGGCTGAAATGAGCCTTAACGGCATTTTGAATTCCATCTTGGCCGCTACCTTAAGTAGAAAACCGGTCGGATGGGGAGTTCCCGCATCAGCGATGGCGCTGGATTTATATAAAAATCCTTTCATTCACCACTTAAATATAAATATATATACACACACAAATATTGGAATATAAATAGAATGAAATCTCAATAATCCGAATTTCATTTTTATGGACACTCCAATAATTCGAATTAAAAAAAAATGAATAAATAAAATAATGATTGGTAAAGACCTTCCACAATCTTGTGAAATTTACGAGATGTCACACTCTTGTCGTCATCACTTTTCGAGAAACAATACACAATAAATATTCAAAATAATGATAGAAAAGCATGATGATTTGTTTCTCGTTTAATCTCTATTTCATTCTCTATTCACACATTCGTTCCTATATACAATACAATATTTTTTTTTCATTAAAAAAATAATGTTATTGCACTTTCTTTTCTTATTCATTTAATTTTTTTTTTTAAATAAACATGACATACGGTTTAATGTACTTCAGTCGATAAATTGTTTTTAAGTATAAGTATATAAATATTTATATAAGTATATAAATAGTTTTATTAATATTCACAATAAGATAAAGCAGTACATTTCTATTTTGAAAAATTCTTTAAAAAAAAATTAATTTATATACGTATTGTTACATTACATCCTCTCAGTATATCCTCTATTAATCATTTTCTTTCAAAGCTTATCCAAGTTCTTAAACTCAATATTGAATTCATTGATGTCAGCGGACTCGTCTCTAAACGGATCTAAACGATGCTATTGGTGAACTCAGCGCTTAGTTTAGGAACTGGTTTGTTTTAACACCTAAAACAATTTCCTTTCATGCTTTAAAACATTTTAAAATTCGTTATTGAATTAAAAAAAATGAAATTACAAATTTAGTTTCCTTCTCTATCCCTGATAATCTGAAAAGGAGATGGCATCGTGATCTCGTAATTTTTTTTGATACTTTATTAGAGTGGCACCAATTTGTAGATTCTCTACAAGCCTTTTTATGTCATTTGTTTCTCTGTACCACGTTTACTGAATGTATATTTATTTGTATACATCTGTAAATTTCATGAATAATAAAAAAATATATATATAATTCTTTCTAATATTTTTTATAAAAAAAAATTATATAAATAAAAACTAATACTTTATCCATTCCAACAAAGTTACGAACAGGCATACGGTTGTGTTAGTTTAAACGAGTACCACAAATAATAGATAAATATTAAAAGCCTCTGTAATTCTTGGACGTTATAGGCCGCCATTTCAATATCTTCTCTCATGAATATACACAGAACATATGTAAAAATGTATAATTAGGAAAGAATAAAAAACACAAACCTAGAGTTCGGTCTTCGGAGCGCCATAGAAGAGGGAAAAAAGAGAAGAAATGAACTGTTTGTAGGCGGATTGGGATGGATGGTGATGGGGCCTTGGGCTGGGCATGGCGACCCAGGAGGCAGATATACGGCCCGAATGGGAGGTGGACTTATAAACAGTTTCATATTTCACCGTGACCGAGCACCAGAATTTACATAAATTTACCAGGGGGGCACCCTCCACCCCCCGACAAGCCTGCTAAAGGACGAGTCCCTAGAGGTCAATGTTTATTTTAAAGGCAACTTTTCTGTTCCGAGTCGAGAATTTTCATAACTATTGCATACAAGATTATGTATCCTAATGAATCCTAACTACCATGGTTATATATTTTATTGATATTCATAATTTAGGGTATATAGTATTACGTATTGGTCAGAATTGTCTTTAATACAAAACATGATGATTAATATGGTATAATAGATTCCGTCTATAAGGAGCTATGGATTTTAATAAATCAGAAATTAAACAAAAGAAAATTTTATGGATAAGTGACAAATCCAGTGTTGTGAAGACGAGTCTTTTTTTGCCCACTCAGTCTTGGTCTTGCGCAAGAATCTCGCAAGTCTTGCACTTACCTATTAGCTTATCACTATAGAGATACTACTGTAATTTTTTAGATGGGAGAGATAGATTTTTGCTAATATTGTATATAAGTATGAATGTGTTTTATTTATTTTAATTTCATTTAGCTTCTATATATTATTTCATTTTTTGTAAATATGTATATTAATTTTCTTATTTTATTTTATATATTTCTTTAATTTGTCTATTTTAGTTATTATTTGTATGTACATGTTGTGCGAACGATTAATGTAGCCCTAATTTTGATGCCCTTCAATGTGACAGAATTTATTAATATTAATAAAACTATAAATAAATTAATTAAAAAAATAAATTAAAATTTTGCCAAAAGCCTTCTATATACTATTTTGTTTTGTTTTCGTTTAATAAACTATTTTATTAGTTGCCATGGGATACTTGCTGTATGTTTAGGTTTTAGACATTAAAATATTAATATTCCTAGTGGTCTTCAATGAATATGTAAACGGACGAGAATAGCTTTATTGCTATTGTCTATATATATATATTTAGATCTTGTTTATTGAGAAATATTACAATCTGCCTCAAAGGACATTTATAATGGTGTTCTGAGAGTTATAATTCAATTTATAATTTTCAATGTCTAGTTCCTTGAAATAAGGTTTTTTTTTTACTATAAATAGATGTAAAGAAATTGACAGTTTTTAAAAAAAAATTTTAAAGGAGTAAATAAATATTTCATAGTTGCTATTAAAAATCTATTTCTTAAATTCAATGTTGATCCTGTTTCACATCATTCAGAAACCTGAATATGGAGGGCTGAAATCTTCATATTTAGATATATTTATATCGAATGTATATATACCGATGATGTTGATATTTACATATCAGATCTTTTCAAAGAAATACCGATATATATTTTTTCTATAAATTTCTCCACATTTACTGGTTGTCTTAAATCTGAGTACTGAGATTTGACTTTTAAGATAAAGTTATTTCAAATTTTTGAAAATTTGTCCAATTAGTCGAAAAATACAACACAAAATACTGTTTTTCCCTTACTTTGTATTTTGGTTGTATTAACACTAAACTTACACTCTATCTGTATTATTTTAAAAGCAAAGAAAGTATGATTTTAGAATAGAATAGAAAATTAAACTTTATTCTGGGACTAAGTTCCCTTTGAATAACAATGATGAATTAATCCAAAGTAAAATACAAATCTGGCCAAAAACTAACTTATAAAAATTCCAATATTATATACATTATTTAAAAAGTATGTAACCACTAAAAAATATATATATTTTAATATTATTATTGATGAATACAAAGTTTATTTATTTATTTATTCCAAACTAACTATTGCAATTTAAAAAATATATATAAGAAATGATGTTTTATATATTTTGACTTTGATAAAATACACGAACAGAAATTAACATATTATTGTAAAAAAAAAGTAAACTTGATACAGCAATGTCTATAAATCTTATACCATTGTTAGCTTGTTGATCAAGATGAAATCAATGTTGATAAAAATAACAAAAACAAATACAATGATTTTCTGTTTATAGTTCAAGGAAATCAAACAGTTCCAGGAATATATCAATCTATTTTCGTTTAAAGTTGGAAAACTTTACTTCCAAAGAACCTTGAGAGCTTATTCCTTGAAAAGACCCCCCTTAACAAGCTGCAGCAAACAAAGCCATCCTTCCCCTCCTAATGCAGGAACCAGGTGGTTACTGGTCCTCATTACACCTTACCTCCTGTCCTGTAATTGGTTGTCTTAAGGAAGGGTATCCTGTCTTCTGTGCTATAACGGGTACTCGGTTTTTATCTGACATTTCACATTGCGAAAATGTCAAATTAATGTTGTCTTTTACAATTAACGCATTTCGCAAAACATCACAATTAGAATAGTTTTCATAAAAAATTATAAAAATATAGTGTTACAACGAAATTAGATTTTTATAATTTATATTCTTCCAAGATTTTTTTTTCAATATTTAAAGTCGATAAATAATAACGTCCTTATATAAATTAATAAATTATATAAGTAACATAAACTATAAAGAATTGAATTTAAAAAGTTATAAAATTAGAAATAAAAATAAATAATATCCACATAAAAAAAAGGTTAATACAGCTTTAAGCCTGCTTCTACATATATTTCTTAAATTAATGTAAGTCTGAAAAAAATCACCATTGATATAAAGTATTTTTACTATTTCTTTAAAATGGTTAGATATATATATATATATTTTTTAAATTTATTTATTTAGAAATAGAACAATCTTTCACGTGGACAATAATTATAGTGATATATGATATAACACATTCATACCATATATACAGAAAATATAATATTAACAAAAGTAAAATAATAATCAAAAACTATGTACAATAAATAAAATAAAATAACCTAAAGCCTATATACAATATATACAATCAGGCAGAGAACCCCAAGCCAGGCTTCTCCCTCCAACTATATAAGGAAAAGCAGGACTTCGAGAGATCCCTGCGCTACTCGCTCAACCGCGTCACTGCTGCTAAAGATTGCCAGAACTCCAACATATATACTACAATAGATCTCTGGGCCACTGCCGATTCAATCGTCGAGGAGGATTGTAGGGATGACTGGAACTAGATAGGGATAGTGCTAGGGGATTCGGATGATTTATAAGGTTCTGATGGAATTTGGAAAAATTTTCAGGAATAAGGTCGAGGACAAATGTGATACACTAGGGAGGATGCAAGCTTGGAAATAAGTGGTGTAGGATGGGCCTGAAGTTGATTGTGGAAGAAGAGGTATCTGGATCGAGCTAAGCTGATGATAACA